TAATAACATGCAAAAAAGTTTACAAATTCACTTACCTCTCAAAATTTTCCTGGCTTTTTAACTATGCGACAAGAGCTGTTACAAGTTTATCCAAGCTAGTTGTTAACTTTACCATGGGAACAAATTTTGTACTGTGAGTGAAATTGAGGAATATTTTGTTCAGAAGACAATGTTATACAATATGTCATTTGATAGATGAAAACCTTAAATTTGTGTTGGTTATTTGTAATATATATATAATGAAATGTAAGAGAGAAATAACGAATTGTGAAAGAAAAGGATGTGGCAGGAGGGGTCTGATTTTCTATTTGATAGCTCTATAACCAAACAAAAATTGAAGGTTATAAAAATTATGGTTTGTTTGAGCATTAACAATTTTATAGAGAGTATTTTATGTTTAATTTCATACTTTTTCGAGGGGTGATGGATAAAATAGGGATGATCACATGCTAAAAGAAAATATGTCATGTGAGTCACACTAGTGGAAATTCAGGATTGTTTTAAATATTGCCTTGTAGAATTAAGAACTTAAAACTTTTAAGATATGGATTATTAGCTAAGATTTTATGCTATTCTAATTGGTATAACATAAACAAAAAGTGGTTTAATAAAATTATGAATGTAAGACACTAAAACCTTGTGTCATCTTCAGTAAAGGGTACGATAAGAGTTAAAAACTAAACAACCATTAAATAAAAATAATGATGCTTACACTAAACAGTCTTGTATATCCAACTTCAAAGTTCCTATTAATAATAATTTTCTTTATACCATAACTCTAAGTACTTTATTCAAAATATTTGGTTGCTGCTTAAGGAACTTTTGAAACTTTTTAAGATGTAACCAGAGCTCAAATATACTTCAATAATGCAACTTTGAGTGGGTGGTTAAAAAGCTGTTTTGCTGTTTATGATTTTTTTATCTTGTATGAGTTAGACATGAAGATATGTGTGTTATTGTATCTTGCTTGTAAGACATAAAACCTCATAAAAAATTAAATACTTTGTGAAACATTAGCTACTTCATGATAGACCATTGCTGATTTTACTTGTGTTGTATAACAGATGTCAGATAAGTACTATCACCAATTATAACATTAAATTATGGTTATTATATACACAAGCAGGTGGCAAAATTTTCTAGTCACTAAATTCTGTTTGGAATATATTTTTGTTCTTGCAAATATAGAAGTTCACCAGTAAATGTAGGTTTGCAACCATGAAAGGCCACTGTCAATATATATAAAGTTATTCATCCATATTTAATAAGTTCTGGTTGTCTAGACTTCACTCTTTTTTTCTTTACCAGCTTTCAGTAAATTATTTATTACTTAATGAAGGAATATTTTTCACTTTTGGTCATTTATTGTTTACTATCACTTGTGAATTACAGATTCTTCCAGTACAGGGATTTTAACCAAATGGAATGCACTAAACCGTGTGGTGTATTTTTTGCATTTTTTTTTCTAACACTTGAGTTTTGCACTAGTATGGTTCAAGCCTTAAGTTTGGCAGAATTGGAACTTGACCATGTTATGCTGCAGGCTGAGTGCCCCAAAGCTGTGTTGATGCAGCTTTAGATGTGACCCAGTGTTGTTTCCTATGCTTGGAAGTGACAAAATCTATAGAAATGTAAAGAGATGACATGGAGGTAGTGAAAAGAGTGATAGATCCAGGACAAGATTGCACCTTGATCATAATTTCTAAGGCCTATTCCATATAGTACAGAAACTGTTTAGACCTTCAAACTACTTTTGAAATACTTATATTGATCTCAACTGTTCATAATATGTTGGAATAGTTTTGTTAGTGGTCATAGAAAACCTGCTTTAGGATCCCATTTACCCAGCATCAAGATTGGGCTGAAGCCCACCTGTCTTGGACTGTCCAACAATGGATACCAGTTGTGTGGATTCATCATAGTCTAGGGTGACATCAGTTTCAATGGAAAAAATTAATATTTATATTCTCCATAACAGTTCTTAAGTAGCTGTGCAGTACTGGGTTGAGATCATAAACACTTTCGTAAGTCTGTACACTGGCATCATTGATAGTGACTTCATCCTAATGGATTACATTGTCACCCACACTGTCCTTTAGTCATAGAGAATTAATTCAGAGGGATACTACCTTATTTGGACTGGCCTGCTCAGTCTCCAAACCTGAATCCAATTGAGCATATCTGAAAGTCCTTCCAGCTTGCTGTTTTGTTCCACCTTGTTTAGCTTGTAATTCTCCATGAACTTGGAGATACACTTGTCTTGCTACAGTTCATTACCCAAAGTCTCATCAGAAAAGTGTGGAGACAATGCCAGGAAGTGATGAGTGCTTTAATTAACAACAACATTAACATAAACATTTAAGCATGAAGTTCTGGACAATCTCTGATAATACAATCTATTACCGAAATTTTTCAGTGTTATAAAGTATTTACGTTCTTGTTCTGGAAAGACACATCTATTAAAATTGTATTTGTTTTTCAACGTTACCACTTAAATGCTGAAAGCTAGTGAAATATTGGAATTCAGTATATCTAATAATTGTGATAAAAATCACTTAGACTGTAGATTTTT